TGACAGCAGATTTCCTCAATTATTTCTTAACTACTGGTGCTAGGGATATTTACTGTGGATCTGGGCAAGATTAAATTGTTGACAACCTCAATCTTTTCTCCATCTCAATGGCACATAGCATTTATTAACAATTAGCTACATAATAATTGTCAGTTCACTTGTTTATGGATTCTCTTTCTCACGAATGAGAAAGCTTCATGATGGCAAGGTCCTTGTTTGTCTGACTTACTGCCATAGCTCCCATCACCTAGTACATATTGCTTAATATACAGGTTATGTTATCATGTGTCCTTAAAATAAATCTCTACTAATGATAGAATTGTGTGTACTTGTCCTTGCAATCAAAACAGTCATCATGACAATTTCACCAAAAAGCTCAAATTATTTTAAAAAGCAAAAACAAAACACTTGAACATAAGAAAGTACTCTCCCAGGCCCACCAACCAAGACCACAGAGAATCATTCTTTTCTATATTAGTATGTGGAAGTCAATCTCCCTAATGCCACAGTGTAATGACTATCAATTTGGCCTGTGAGGAAATGGTTTCCAATTCTGATAGGAATTCTCAAATTTCAGCCTGTGTCTCCCCCATCATTATTTTTCAATGTCTTAAAAAGCCACATTTCTCATTTTATCTTCACCACAAGAACCTGGTAACACTCTCCTGTGGTTTCAAAGTTACAGCTACACTAGCCTCATTTTCTTGAACGTACTTTTTCAGAGGTCCTGACCAGGCGCTGACATTAGAGCAGCGCCTCTAAATATTCATTCCTTTTGCTTTCCATTGGTTAAAGGGCCGCGTTCGGAGGTAAAGATTCCATATAACATAAAAGAAAATCCTCTGGGATCTAGTAGCCTTCTTTCAAGAGTGTCCAGAGGAATATGATCTAAAGAGCTCACAGCCTTACAGACAGACACACAGTACACCTAGATACTCATGTTTTTACTTCTCCAGATTTTCCAGAACAATCACTAACTTGTTGGAAAACATCAACAACTAAGGGTCACAGCACAGGTGAAAAGGCAAGAAGATTCAAGAAGAAGCCAGCTAAAAAAAAAAGCCTTTCAAAAACAATTTCAAAGAATAATTTTCATTTGAAGGTAGATTATCAATCATTAGATATATGAAAAACTCAGTGTGAACCTGAAAGTAAGAGTTCAAAGTGTTTTTTAAAAAGTGATTCTTGTAAGATAGGGCCTGCTCTGATCATATTCCTAAAAAAAGTCAACACTAAGCATTTACATTCAAATGATAATGAATTGTGCTCACTTGACAAGGTGTTGTGATAAGTTTTGCAGAATATTGTTCATAAGAAAGAAAAGAATTACAGAAACTATGGCTAGAAATTAAATCTCATAATATTATCTGGTTATACTGTCAGAAACATTACTCAGTACAGTAATTTGGAATGGTATGTAATGGTCTTGCAATATTACAAATAAGACTTAACTCTTGACTCTGTCACTTATGAATTTAAAATGCCTATTTTACCTTTCTCACTTCTCAGCTCCTTCATTCGTAAAATAGAGGTAAGGGTAGGACCTACCTCAAATAATTTGTAGTGGCAGAAGAGTTTGCTTAAACATTGTAATTAATTACGTTAATCAAAGGCAATTGTTATAAAACAAAATGTCTATGAGTGATTGTAAGAAAAATAAATATTATTTGTAAACCTTCAAGGAAAAAAAATTAAAAGAATGTTGTAGAGACTTGTTATATAACATGTGAGTGTATTATTATTATTAGAATGCAAGTCCTTATTACGTCCATGTCAAAGATGAGATAAGTAAGGCTCAGAAAAATTCAGAAATGTGCCCCAGATTCTAGAGCTAAGACTTGAAAGAGTAAGATGACATCTTCCTCCTGGAACAGTGTTCTTTTCATTTTATTATGGTTCTCCTTTGAATTAACAAAAAACTGAGTCTTGAGAGAGATGAATTTCCACTAGATAAATAAATCCAGAATCACGGCAAATAAGACGCTTAAATCATTCGGGTCTTGTCTATCTAATACTGCTTCCTTTTCCATCACAGAGTCATACCTTTCAAATTTTATATTTTTAACGGTTTCAGTAACTTCTCAAAATGACTTGTCACAGGACATCTGTTGTCTTGGACTTACAGAGGTGTCAAGCAAGTGCCACTTACACACATTTTTAGTTTTCTATGATTTTTAGTTTCCTGAAGACAAGAAATGGTTCACTTGCCAACTAGATTTCTATCAGCACTGGGTGGTGGGGGCGGGGGAAGAAATCTTAGTATTTTTTCAAATAAGTGTACTGATTGATAGAAGCTACAGTCAGTAGCATTTTGAAACTGCTAATAAGACTTACCCTTACTTAGTTTTTAACAGTTCAGTATAGTTAGAAAGATCGATAGGGTCCACTTTTGCTACGCATATGAGTATTCAACTTCTTAAATGGCAGAAAACAAGGATTTATAAAAAAAAAAAGGAAAGATAATAACAATCAAGAATAAGAGCAGTATACAATCATTCACACTATAGAGTTGTACAGTCACGAATATTTACATAACATCCATTATATGCTAAGTATCATCACTGGCACTAGGAATGCTAAGATGAAGAAGAAATGATATTTCTGCCCCCAGAAGAGTCATATTTCACTTGGCAAGAAGCCACAAGAGTGCTGGTACAGATTAAATAGCCTAGAAACTTAACCCCTAGGCTTGTCAGGTCTATAAAAGCAAGCAAGGCTATTCAATCCCAGCCGTTTTTGCCCTGCCCACTTCATTTGATTCAGCTAACACCCAGAGAACAAGTAAGATTCTTTTCTCTACTTCATCCTTCTTAAGAAGACTAGGGAAAAGGATCAACTGTGCTCCCAGAAATTCAGGGATTTTTTCCACAGGGACTTGAAATTCCAATCTGTAGGAAATTCAGATTTTACTTACAAGACCTATAGATCAGCAAAGGAGTTAGGAAGAGTCAAGAGTTCCCCAGACAATAACTCAAGTTTAGGTCATTAGAACTGTCATCTGATCTCTAAGGAGCCTCTGGGGACTATAAAGGAAAAAGTCTATTTACAAGGAATAGAGAGTCAAATTCATGGTTCATTTTAAATGGAATTTCTGTAGGAAGGTACTCTTCTTATAATATTCCAGATAAATCAGCAAAAAACAAAACAAAACACAAAAAACAACACCCAAAACACAGAGAACCCTCAAAAGATTATATACTGATGGAATGTTGGTAATAAAAATAATGCTTTGAATTTCTTTAGCAAACACACCCTTTCATGAAGATCAAGGTGTCTTAAAGTTATTATCTCATTCAGCCTAAACACTGTTGTGTGATAGTCAGAAGTGATAAAGTAGTCATCATTTTTACTTTCACACACGATGAGTCCAATTTACATAGCAGCATGAGCCTTCAAAGGAATATTTATGAAAGATGTTCTGCCTCTAGAAATACTCTTAAATTATTAAGTTGTTCAGACAGCAACCTGTAGACAGACAAATGAAAAAAAGAACATCATTCTAAACATTTCCAACGAGAGAAGCAAGGCATGAAAAACACAGCCTAAAACACAACCCATTAAAGGAAATCAGAGAGAATGTCTTAAATAAAGGAGAAAGGTGAAAATTAAAGGCCAGACCTAAAGCTGTGGTTGTTAGGTGCTGTCAAGTCAAGCACAACTCATAGCAACCCTATGAACAAAAGATCTGAACTCCGTTCTATTCTGCACCATTCTCATACTTCCTGACACACAAGAGCCCACTGCAGCAAGTCACCATGTCAGTCCACCTGGTTGAGGATCTTCCTCTTCTTCGCTGACCCTCCACCCTTCCAACATCATGTCCCTTTCCAAGGAATAGAACCTCCTAGCAACATGTCCGAAGTTTGTGAGGCAAAGCCTCATCGTTCTTGCCTCCAAAGAGCACTCCAGCTGTACTATCTCCAAGACGTCTATTCATTCACTTGGCTGTCCATGGGATGTTCAGTGCTCTTCTCCAGCACCACAGCTCAAAGGCAACAATTCCTTCTCTGTCATCTTTATCCATTACACAAGTCTCAGATGCATAGCTAGGAATTGGAAACACTATGGCCTGAATCAGATGCACCTTAGTCCTCAAACTGACATCACTACTCCTCAATAATTTGGAAAGGTCTCTAATTGCAGATTTTCCCAGTGCAATGCATCTCCTTATTTCCTGACTGCTCATACTAAGTGTGTGAATTGTGGATCCAAGCAAGATAAAACAGTTGACTATTTCAATCTCCTCTCCATCCATCATGACACTACCTATTGGTCTAGTGATATGAATCCGTTTTCCTGATATTGAGACACAATCCATACTGAAGGCTGCATACCTTGGTCTACTGCAACAATTGCGTCAAGTTCTCCTCACTTTCAGCGAGCAAAGTTATGTCACCTGCATAACACAGATTATTGATGAGCCTCACTCCAATCCTAATTCCACACTCCTCTTCACAGAGTCCAGCTTCTCAGATAATTTGCTCAGCATACAGATTTAACAGGTATGGAGAGAGGACATTCGCTTGACATAGTTGAATACTGGTGGGTGTTTGTGATTTATTTGAAAGCTGGAGGTAAACTGGCCATTTCTAATTGTGTTAGCAATCAAGTGTATGCTGATTAACTGTTTCTGATCTCACTTACAATTAACTTGAGTGGGAAGCTTCTCTTATGTAGACAAGCAGGACCTGGTGGGCGGCCTTTGTATTTAGAAGTCAGTCTGGTCCAATCCATGAGTGAGACCTAAAGTAGGTCAAATTCATCAAACATGCAGTTGTTGATCTAATGTACTCATTCTCAAGGCATATCACTGGACTAGATTAGCTGTCCACTATGTGCATGCTCCAAAATATGTTTGGGCAGCCCTCAGCCAACCTACCAAAACTAAACCTTCACTGCCACTACTGATGAGCAATTTCCCGCATATTCTTCACATGCCCTGCTTGCTTTCAAATGCCTCATCTGGGCTCACCCTATCGGAAAAGCACTCATGCACTTACTATTCCGTGAAGAACCTGGCAATGCCATATTGGCTAACATCTTCCTTGTTCTCCAGTAGTTGGCACACGGCATCCTCCATATATGTGAGGACATGTCGCTGAGCTGCAAAGAAAAAGCAAGAGGGGAAAAGAAAGTGAGAGTGACAAAAACACAAAAGGTTTCCCAATTTCAGTAGGAAGCCATGTAAATAATCTAAGAAGTTGGGTATTCAACAGGAAGTGGGCATAGCATGTTATTGTTGTCATTATGTGCCACCTAGTCACTTGCAATAGCCCTGAACTCTGCCCTATCCTGAGCCAACCTTATCATATGTGACAAACCTAACCCCACTATCCTAGTTACTGAGCCAATCTAGCTCACTGAGGGTATTCCTCTTTTGTGCTGTGCCCCCACACTCCCAAGCATGATCCTTGCAACATGTCCAAAGTATGTCATATGAAGCTTCAGAATCCTTGCCTCCAAGGAGCAGCCTGGTTTCACCCTCTCCAGAATCAATCCGTTTGTTCTCCTAGCAGTCCACAGTATATTCAAGACTCTTCTCCAGCATTACAGCTCAAAGGCATCAATTCTCCTTCTATTATTCCTAATCTTTGTCCAGCTTTCTGATGCATAGCAACTAACTGTGAAAACCATGGCCTGGATCAGGGTCACCTTAGTTTCCAGACTGACATTGTTGGCCATCACTACTCTGGAGAGGTCCCTGACAGCAGATTTTCCCAATGCAATTACCACATCTTTTCAATTTATATGCAGATCATCTGGGAGGCTGGGCTCTATGATGAGGAACATGGCATCAGGATTGGAGGATGATTCATCAACAACCTGTGTTATGCAGATGACACAACCTTGCTTGCTGAAACTGAGGCAGACCTGAAGTGCTTGCTGAAGAATGTCAAGGATTATAGCCTTAATATGGACTGAAGCTCAACATGAAGAAAACAAAGATTCTCACCACTGGGCCAACTGGCAGCATCACGAAAGACAGTGAAGAGACTGAGATTAACACCTTAACTTTGCTTGGCTCCAAAATCAACACTCTTGATACAAGCAGCCAGGAAATCAAAAGACGAATTGCATTGGGCATAGCATTGCTGTATATAGTAGAATCTGAGCCAACCCACAGTTGACCCTGCGATGGGCACAGAATAGGTGAGCCAAATTTGCGGGCCCTTAATTATGATCTTGAAGCTTTGAATTGGAACATGATCGACTTCCATCTGACATCAACACTTCATTTTTCATTTAGGTAATGAAGTTAGGTTACAAAGATGCAGATACATGAGCAGATATACCTATAAATGCCACTCTATTCTGCATGTTTCAGAAATGCATCCCAGAGATCATGCCTGAAGTGTGGATGGTTTGGCTTTAATGAAAACGCTGTTCTTTAAAAAGTTCAAGGGCTATGAAAATTTCACACAGGAGGGGAAGACCCTCTATGAGGTGGATTGAATTCAGTGACTGGAGTAATTGGGCTGAGTGTATCGGAAACAGTGCGACTGGCACAGGACAGAGCAGAGTTTAGGGCTGTTGTACATAGGGTTGCTATGAGTCGCAAGCGACTCGACGGCACATACACACACACACACACACACATACATATATAAGCTCTAATAGACTGTTGGTTGTTGTTGTTATGTGCCGTCGAGTCGCTTGCGACTCATAGCGACCCTATGTACAACAGCCCTAAACTATGCTCTATCCTGTGCCAATCGCACCGTCTCTGACACTCCCAATCCCGATTATCCCAGTCACTGAATCAATCCACCCCATAGAGGGCCTTCCCCTCCTGCACTGTCCCTCCACCCTCCCAAGCATGATGTCCTTCTCCAAGGACCGGTCTCTCCTCACATGTCCAAACTACGTTAGAATCCTTGCCTCCAAGGAGCCACCCGGTTTAACCCTTTCCAGGACAAATCTGTTTGTTTTCCTAGCAGTCCATGGTATTCTCAATACTCTTCTCCAGCACCACAGCTCAAAGGCTTCAATACTCCTATCCTCCTTTGTCATTGTCCAACTCTCTGATGCATAACAAGTGATTGTGAGAACCATGGCCTGTATCAAACACACTTTAGTCTGCAGAGAGACACCATTGCTCTTCAGTACTCTGGAGAGGTCCCTAACAGCAGACTTTCCCATGGCAATGCGCCTTTTAATTTCCTGGCTACTGGTGCCAAGAGTGTTGACTGTGGAGCCAAGCCAACTAAAGCTGTGTACAATCTCAATCTCTTCACCATCCATCCTGATGCTGCCAATTGGTCCATTGGTGAGAATCTTTGTCTTCTTGACATTGAGCCTCAATCCATATTGGAGGCTGCAGTCCTTGACACTCTGCAGCAGGTGCTTTAGGGCCTCTTCAGTTTCAGCAAGCAGGGTCATGTCATCTGCATAACGCTGATTGTTGATAAATTGTCCACCAATCTTGACCCCACATTTCTCTTCATAGAGCCCAGCCTCCCGGATAATCCGTTCTGCATATAGGTTGAAAAGGTATGGAGATAGGATGCATTCCTGGCGACGCCCTTCCCAATTTTGAACCACGCAGTGTTCCCCTGCTCTGTTCTGACGACTGCTTCCTGGTCCAAGTATAGGTTTCGCATTAGAACGATCAAGTGTTCTGGGATTCCCATTCTTCTCAGAGTCAGCCACAGTTTGTTATGATCCACACAGTCAAATGCCTTTGCATAGTCAATGAAACACAGATAGACATTCCTCTGGTATTCTCTGCTTTCAGCTAAGATCCATCTAACATCACCTACAATATCCCTAGTACCACGACCCCTTCTAAGCCCAGCCTGGACTTCAGGTAGTTCTCTGCTAATGTGCTGTTCCAGTCGTTTTTGGATAATCTTCAGTAAAATCTTGCTTGCATGTGAAATCAGTGAGATTGTTCTATAGTTTCCACACTCTGTTGGGTTACCTTTCTTTGGGATAGGAACAAATATAGATCTCTTCCAGTCAGTTGGCCAAGTGGTTGTTCTCCAGATTTCTTGGCACAACTTGGTGAGCACGTCCAGGGCAGCATCTGTTAGCTGAAATATGTCAATTGGTATACCATCTGTTCCTGGAGCCTTATTTTTTGCCATTTCCTTCAAAGCAGCCTGAACTTCTTCTTTCATCACCATAGGTTCTTGCTCATATGTTGTTTCATGAAATTCTTCTGTCTGCCAATTCCTTTCGATACAGTGACTCAGGATATTCTTTCCATCTTCTTTTAATACTTCCTGGATCATTTAACATTCTGCCGAAAGCATCCTTGATTATAGCAACTCGAGATTTTAATTTATTCTCCAGTTCCTTGAGTTTAAGAAATGCTAAGTGAGTTCCGCCCTTTTGATTTTCTAACAGACTAGTGGTAAGAAATTGGCCCACCAATCAGAAGGCAAACAGTTCTAATCCATCACCTCATCGGCGTGAGAAAGATGGACACTCTCCTCCCTTGAGATACACACTGAAAACCCACTGAAGGGTTAGCTAGGAGGCCATCAAGTGGGGACCAACCTGTAACTCTCCCTCCACTGGGTTTTCTGAGGCAGTAAATCCCACAGGAGGTCATCTTTCTCTTGAGGAGCTACTCACTGGTGGATTCAAATCTAAATGCCTTTGGGTTCGCTGCACAACTCCCTACGGACTATACCACTAGTGAGGGACCAGCTGGGTGTGGGTTTCAACTCCTCAGCAGTGAGCTGGTTTTTTTAACTGGTTTTCATTCAGTCATTCAAATACATTTTGTTTTATAACATTAATTTCAATTGATCAACGCCAGTTACTACAACCTCTCATCAAATCCTCACTGTACCTCGCCTTTCCCTCCATCCTTACCCTTCCAACCACTAATCTCCACTGACCTAGAATTTCCCCACAACTCCTTTTCCCACCCTCCTCTCCCCTCCCCATTTGATCAGTTATGCAGTGAGTTTTTTGTATACGTAAAGGGAACTCTGGTGGCACAGTCCATCTTGAGCTGCATTGTCAGCCCAAAGGTGTCACTTCTGGGGCTGTTAGACTCAAGCTGCTCAGCGGAAGGAAGCTGAGGAGTCTCCTCCCCTCATGGGTGACAGCCTCAGAGCCCCAATAGAGGGTCTGTATGACTAAGAACTGCCTTGTCAGTGGTGAGCTGAGTGTGAGCTATATCCATAAGTTATTAATTTTATACAAAAGAGGCAAATATTAAGACCACAAAATCTACATGACTCATTTTATTAGAAATCATGGTTTCTGTACTGGGTGTCACTACACAATACAGGCATTGATCATGAGTTTGCATTATAATTAGACCTGGGTTTGATCTGAGCCTCTGTCACTGGCAGCTTACTCTCAGTTGCTGAACAATCTGCATCTGTTTTCTTATGTGTAGAACACAACATAATTTCATTCTTCCTCAAAGTATGGTAAACCGACTGCTTGATCAGAATCACCAGGGGTACTCTATTAAAATGCAGATAAATAGGCCTATCCCAGACTGAGTAATCTCAAATTTCTAACAGGAGGCCAAGGATTTTTAACAAGAACCTCTGGTGTTTCTCATGCACCCAGTGATTTAAGAACTACTGGTTAAGAACTGGGGTTTGGAATTCAGAATGACCTGAATTCCATTCTCAGCTCTACCATTTTCTAGCTGTGTGACCTTAAGTAAATTACATTCCAAGCCTTTTTCCTCATTTTATAATGGGATAAGAATAGTACTTATATAATAGGTTGTAAGAATGAAATTAGATGATGCATATAAAAGACCACACTGGCTGGCATAATGTACATGCTTGATAGATAATGTACTTCTTCAAAGGGACACTGGTAATAAATGATGTAACTTCAGTAAACAGCACAGGTCAGAGATTCTAATACAGCTTATAGAGCTTTATGTGCTTAATAAATGTTTGTATCCCTTCCCTGGGTTCCAGCTTTGGATACTACAAGTGTCACACTGCACACAGAAATTTCAAACTCAGTGTTTCAATTTTCCATCCAAAGAAAATCAGAAAAATACTTCCTTGCAGAGCAGTTAGAACAAAAGAACCAAATGTAATGAATATCCAGCCAAAATCAATTCCAGGAAGTTACTGCCAGGCTGTCTTTGCCTCTTGGTCATAGTTTCATTCCTC